TGCAATCCCATGACTCTGTTTTGGAGTCAGGGGCTCTGAAAGTGACCTTGACCAGATGTTACACCTGCTTATCATGTGAATCAAATGCCTGGGAACTGTACAGTTAAGCTAGTGCTTAACCTAAACCATCTTGAGGGTTCCCTCCCCTCCCCACTTCTAAGTAAAAGTGAAAAACAAGCCAGCTAAACATTATTATGACTCAGAGTAAACTTTCTTAACATGTGCAGGAGAAATCAAAGTATGTCATCTAAACTCCTTGAAATAACAATGCTCTTCTGCATTGCCACTATGCCTTATAATTAGACAGACAGACAGACAGACAGACAGACAGACAGACAGACAGACAGATAGATAGATAGATAGATAGATAGCTGGCTACATTCATATATAATACTATAGGTAGTCCTCGACTTATGACAGCAATTGGGACCAGAATTCTCATTGCTAAGCGATGCAGTCGTAAAGTGTGACTGCTTCGCTTAGCAATGACAACCCTACAGTCCTGGTTGCCATCGTTAACCAAATCCCACAATCATTAGACGAGGCAACTTCCTGCCGGCTTCCCACAATGAAAGTCAGTGGGGAAGCTGGCAGGAAGCTGCAAGTCCCAGGCCAGCAGGCAAGTAAGTGGCTGCTGCTGGGTGGGGGAGGGAGTGAGGGGGTGTGTGAGGATGCAGATTTAGAAAGGCTGGCTTAGCACAATATGTGAATTCAGCCAAAACCAAACTACAATTAGTTGAACATGGAAGGGAGAGCTTTGTATCTTCTCTCAGCCACTCCAAAGGAGGGAGGAAAGCTAATGGAGTTTAACCTCATTCATGTAATGTCACACTAAGTTGGAGAACTGTTTGAGTCTATTCTTCAACATGAACCATACTTTAGAGCTGTACAAACTATAATTATGTTTCAACATGCCATCAATATTTTTAAATCTGGGAAATCAAAATAACCCTTAGCCTGCTATTCAAAAACACATAACTTTTTAATCTATAAATTCCATATATTTTTCATGGTATATTATAAAAGCTGGCAAACCTCTTTGTAGCTCTTTTGGGGATTACCACAGAAGTAACATTATAACACTTAAAATAAATTGTTATACTTACATTTGTTCTACACACAAATAATATGCAGTTATTGATTTGTGAACCAATCAACTATTTTACTGATGCTTTTCTTTCAACTAATACAGTGGTACCTCGGGATACGAATGCCTCTACTAACGAACTTTCGGGTTACGACCAGCTCCGTCCACAAAAATGTACCTCGATGTGCGAACTCCACCTCGGGGTACAGTCATTTTTCTGCCCTGACACGTGGTCCGCGGCCGTTTTCCCGCCGTGCCGCGCGGCGCCCGGCCGTTCTGCTGCTGCGCCGTGCCCGGCCGTTCTCC